ATGCTAAGAGCTTAATTTGGTTAATTGGTGCGCTTTCAATAGATATTCTTTAGATACAGGTAAAATAAAATCATAAATGGTGGGGTCTCCCAAACGGGGGGGTCTTGTGCAATGGCACCATTGACACACGCTCAAGGTCAGCTCTGTCACAAATGGTAGATTGTCTTAATGAATAGAGTTTTACTATATATTCGCTTTCAAATCACTCTCTTCTTTTAGTCTTGTTTAGAAAAATAATCACTTGAAAAAAAAATATATATATATATCCATTTTTATTTTTTTCTTTAATTGGTTAAATTATTTATTTTATTTTTGATAAATAGCTAAGCCTAGGCCATAGGCATTCACTGTGGTTGGTGTTGAGGAGCCAAACCCCCACCTTTCATGATAGTCCTTGAAAAATTTCTTGGAAAACCTTTTTTAATTGCTAAGAAAGTGCTACATTATAAATTTACAAGTGGGAATTTACTTGTCATTCTCTTATTGGTTGCCTAGGATCGGCATTCATAATATTTATGGACAAGGATTATCTGCCCTCCCACTTCCGATGCCTTTCAGTTTGTGTGGTTACGGTTAAGCCACGTCAACATTTTATATTACTATTTATTTTTATCTTATTATCTCTATAAAAAAATAATATAAAATGTTGATGTAGCTTAATCGTGACCATATAAAACAAGAGGACACGGAAATGCACCAGAAATGGAAGAACAGACAATCCTTGTCCAATATTTATAAAAGGATTTCTCTCGTGGAGAGACTGGATAATAATGTATATCAAACCTCAAAACCCTAGATTAAAAAGGGCTTTGTGTTATGTTATTTTAACGTGGACCCCTACTTTGACCTTTCCTACGTGGGACCAGGGCATTAGAATAATAGAATGAGATAGGTTGGCTATTAGGGCAGGGACAAAAGACAGCTGGTGGCAAGTAAATCACAGCCGTCCATGTAGAGGATAGTGGATGGGCACTATATATTTATCGAATTCTGCGGTTGGTTCAGGCACACACCGGTGAGGTCGCCGGTAGACTGGAATGGTGACGTTGAGAGGTGTGAAAATGCATAAGCAAAAAATGTCTCGGTGTCATGCGTGCAAATCAGTAAAACGTTATCGTAATCAGGACAGAAATATATGGAATTATTATAAAGGGACACCTCATTTTTTGCATTATTTAATTCGAGGTGCATTCGTAAGCTGGGAAGGCTGGAATTAAAAAAAAAAAAAACCTAATGAGTCATGGACCCATGCTTAAATACACACACACACGCATATATATAAGTGACTTATAATGTAGTGTTATTAAACCTAAAAATATATATAAACTTTTGTTGATTAAATTATATGATAATTAATAATAGTTATTGGGTAATCATATATATTTAAGTATGTGCCTGCTTCACATGGCCTAGGGATTCTTGTGGGAAGACAAAAACCCTGTAGAGAACTGCACGGAGAATCCCAGTTTAATTTTGTTCTCTTGTGTGAGGGAGTGGGAGGGCTTGTCATGCAAGAACGTGGGGCAAGTGTTTGTCTGAAAGCCAGTTAATAATTAATGGATTAGCAAATTAAAACTATGGGGATTTTGTAGATTGGACCACTTAAATCTTAATTAAGACCCCTTTGCTTTTAGGAAACCCTGTTGAACTGGTCCGTAGAAGTCAGTTGGGGTCTTATTTTTCTAAGAAGTTTAAGCATATCATGACCAACTTGATCATGGTTGTAAATTTTGGGTTCTTAGCTAGCTACCTGTTTATTGATATAAAATTACAACAGATTGGCTAGGCCAGTAACACTTAATGTGGTGATTTGTTAAGTCAGGAAGAATTAAATTTGTCAAAATAGTTATTCAATGCGTACGTATAAATGATTTTGAATCATTGAATTAGTTAGTTTGAAACTTATGTGTGCAAACTGTGAATTTGAAGCTTACCGTGAGATTTACATCATTCAACATGTATCAATGATATTGAATGGTTGAATTAGTCGGTTTAAGACTTATGTGTGCGGATTGTAAATTATCAATTGGTGTAAGACTCTACCGTGTGATTCACATCTATCAACCACTATCAATTATATCTTGTGAACATGTGGGTAACTAACCCTTTACTATTTGTTAGGTCCTTGTGGAATTCAAATTTTCAGTTCCACCTATTATGGTAGTGAGTGATACAGTGTACAGAAGGGAAAGTAATAAGAAATAGTAAGAAATACGGATGGCAACAATGGTCTTTTAAAGAATTCGTAAGCCAAAACCATCAAGTTCCCCTGAGAGAGAGAGAGATACTGTCATCATACGTACCTTTACCTTTGGTAGATTCTGAAAATGTCTAATCAAACATATATGATCATTGGTCCATTATACATTCAAATTCTAATCGAGAACCACCTCCCTCCCCCACAATATAATCCCAATACACACTAGTAATATTTGTGTTTTAATATTATAAGGGATAGAGAGAGACATTTGGGAATTTGTTTCTTAAAATTAAGGAAACCCAAAACCTTTATCTTTTGGTGAGAAGTCCTTAACCCTAAAAATGTCTAATCAAATGATGTTAATCACACGTATTATGTTAATATGTTATTTGAAGTGGTCGTACAAGACTCCAAAAAGCAACCCAACATTTGGACCAAAACAGAAGGCGTTTTATCTGACCTATTACAACAAATATAGAATCAATTTAACCTTATAATAAAACATACTTCATTAGGATTCTAACTCTAATCCTTGCCCTTCATCATTCCGACATGTTATATCAAAGCCCAGTTTATATGCCTCAGTTTCATCATAATCACCTTTTCAAAACGCTGATCACACTTTTATCTTTGTTTTTTAAAAGATTAACTAATTAATCATATTATAGTGTCCTTGATTAATTCAGATGATTATTCAAAAGCAGCATATAAATATTTTTTAATGTGGGATGAGGATCAACTTTAGAGTTGTTACCAAAAACAACTGCAACATGGTGGCTTCTGAAATAGTTGAGAAATGCAAAGGAAACCCTCAAGTTTGATTCACATCGGCGTGCCATTTTATGGCAGGAGAGGCTCCACCTTGGCGACCAGATGAGAGGCTCCTTGGTTTGGCCAAACTTGAGGCTCTATTTTTATGGCATGTCTAGTTTGGTCAAGTTGACCTTGTCTATTACATTGAAATTTATTTGATTTGAAGACCTCCCAAAATTTATCTGTAGTGCTCTTTAAAATATGTATTGTTTCACATCCTTTGGGATTGACATAAAAAAGATCATTATTTAGTGCGTAGTAACAATAATTTATATAGTACCCTATATATAGACGTTTTTCTTCTTCGATTAAAAAGGTCAAGAGTCTAATTATAACTCATCATTGTTCTAGAAAACAAACAACGGATCGTAATAAAATATGGTCAATAAGCTTCCTCCTCATAGTTCTTTGATAACTTTCTCTCAACTGAGCAAGAGCGATCACAACCATGAAAAAAAACTGATTGCATGTGATATTTTTTGTATAAAAGTCACATGATTAATATAATAGATGCAATAAGTAAATATGGTCGTACGACCAACTAAGATCTCAATTTTGATACTTTGTTAAAATATATACATTCGATCTAAAGAACAAATTAATGTATAATGATGAGGTCTAAGATGTTTTAAACCCTAATATTGTGATAGTTAAATTCTCGAGTATATAGTGTGTAAGTGTAACTATATAAGATATACTACACGTGATCTAATATCTAGTAGATAGGGTGTTGAGTTTCTACTAATGGCAAAGCCAAGTACAGGGCTCCCCTAGGCTATAGCATAGGGAGAGTTTTCATTCTTTAAGCTTAAAAATATTAATCTTTTGATTATTTTATAATTTTTAAGGGAACTGTTATTAGCACACCAAAAATCTCATTTTACACTCCTCACAAGTGTATTTTTCTTTCTAATTATAGAAAGTTTGGAGTACCAAATGAGACTTTTAGAGTGCTAATAACAATTCCTAATTTTAATTGTCATATTCTACTTGGGAAATGAAAATTTTGAATCTTAAGGCTGCTTTTGAGGAAAATAAGAGCTAATAAATGTTGAATAAATTCATCACTTTAACCAATATTATAATTTAAAAGTAATAAGTTAAAACTTTCATGCTACAAATGGTTTCTTACTTTATTTACTTGAAGCTTTGAGGTTAGAAGCTTAGAAAGTATAGTATGAATTTCTTGCTTCAATTGTTATTTTCATGTTTACTATTATATAACTTTATATAGGGCAACAAAAGATTGAAAAATTGATGTAATAATTTTAGCTTAGCCCACCCACCGAATAATTCCTGACTATGTCATTGCCTATATGTCACAGGTTAGAAAGTCCCCAATCTCCAATAATAGTACTTTATAAGATGTGCTACAAGACAATAGAACATTTCCCCCACGAACTCATTTCTTTGAAGGTTGGGCGGCAATATTGGGCAGGCGGGTCCTAAAGCACCACATGATCACTATCAAACGTTTTGGTAACACAAAAGAAGAAGAATGAAGGCAACTCAAATTTGAAAGAAACCAAGAATAGTTGTTGAAGTTTCGAAACGTTCCTCCGAGAAATGCGGCTACTTGCCGCCTCTTTACTTTCCTATCACTTGTTTCTGAAACAAAGGAGAGAACTTTTTACTTTCATTTTTTTTTTTTGGGCAAAGGTAATTCTTTTATTTTTCTGACAAAGAAAAAATACATAATATTTAGTATAACGATATATTGTACACACGAAAGGAGGGAGAGTTCGGCTAAGTCATACAATAGACAACTTAATTTGGTATCGAATTCGTCATTTACGAGATTCGAACCTAAAACTAAAACCTCTTACTTACAAGTGAAGAGAAATACTACTAAACCGTACTAGTGAATGGTTAATATATAATATTAAATTAACAAATAAAAATAAGCACCACAGTTAGCTCGATGACAAATAATTTATCATTAGCAATTCCGGCCATTTCATATTAAACTCTCTCTCTCTCTCTCTCTCTCTCTCTCTCCTCTCTCTCTGTTGCGTATGGAGAAGAGCTGTTTTGTATGAAAAGTCAGCTCCTCTCCTGATCTCTTCCAAACAATTCTCTCCCTCATCATAACTTTGTTTTTGAGAAGAACAGAAGAATCCAACATCAGCTTTCAAAAACCACATCTTTGCTCTCCTGCTCCTAATAATCAAAACCCATTTTGGGAACATATCAGTCTATTGTGTATTGTCAATTGATTTTACAGTGAAATCTTAAATTTTTTCGTTTGTTTAATCAATTAGCAGCCACCCAAATACCAAGCCGAAGAATTGCATGCCTTTTAGGTCTCCTTTGGTGCAAATTTAACCTCCCAATATACTACAATAGGGTTCAAATGATATACTTGAACTTGAAGCTGCAGCTTTTGCCTTAAGAGAGTGTGTGTGTGTGTGTATCATGTGCAGCTTGTTCATGCCAACTACTAGGATGGAGAATTTTCAAGGTGATTTAACCGACATACTAAGAGCTGGTACTACTACTGCTACCGTTGGAGCTGATCCGTCTGATCATCAAGAACCTTACACCGACTCGTGGCACTTTCCATATGATCCCATGATATTCCCATCATCCTCATCAGCCATGGAAGAAGAAGAAGAAACTAAGGACAACTTTGGCGATCCATTTTTGTCGTACATGCGCGATCCGCTGCTTAACGAGCTAGACATATCAAGTTCCAGCCTTTTCAGCAGCCCCAATTGTACAGCTCGTGCGGAGGAAGGTGTTACAACTACTACTTTTGGTAGCGGTGGCGATGGCAGTCATCATGTACTTAGTCTTGGGCATCACAACCATCAAAGTGGCGGTGTTGTGGTTGATGGTGATCCAATAAAGAGGCCTTACAACATATTCTCACGGATGCTACAGATCTCTCCGAGTGCAAAGGTACCGGTGTCGCCGTGTGATTCTCCGGTGATGGGTGCATCAGTGTCGTCGTCTACTAGCGGGGTTAAAACATCGTCAGCTTCTGCTGCCATGGTTGCAAGCGACATGATTATTAATGGGAACAGCTCATCAGCAGCAAAAGGTTGCTTGCTCGAGAACACTGGGATGCAGATCTCATCTCCACGGAATCCGGGTATCAAGCGAAGGTAAGGACCCATGAGAGAGCATTTAATATTTCTTACAACTTGACCATGATTCCATGAATTAATTATTCTAACTAGTAAATAATTACTGGTATATAAACTAATCCTGATTGGTAATTAAGGTTGCATTATCATCATCATCATTTCATAGATCAACAACCTTGATGAAAAATTGCCTTATATGCAACTTAGGTTTTGATTTGTACGTGGAGAAAATCTAAGAATAGGGTTTGCTATTTAAAGCGTTTCTTAGTTATTATGAATATAAACAGGGTTTAGGGTATAGCAAAATAGGCTAGAGCAATATGCTCTTCTTGCACTCAAGTTCGAGTCTTCTTCTTCTAATTTTTATTTTAGTACAACAATATATTTTACACTAAAAGGAAGAAGAGTTCGGTTAAGTCACACAATAGGCAACCTAATTTGATATTGAATTCACCATCCACGAGATTCAAACATAAAACCTCTTACTTACAATGAATAGTAATACCATCAGATCGTAGTACTGAGTGGTCCCTTCTTGTAATTTAGATAACTTTAGATTGAGCATCGCGTGTCTAAAATAAAATATATCAAATATTGTTAGGTTTTGACTAGCTCTAGAGTCTTCAATCTTGAAGATGGTGTAGCTCTCTAACACTGTTTTTCAGGTGAGATTGTTATATGGTGACAAGCGTGAACATTACTATAAACATGATATGTATCTTTGTCTTTGTGGGTTTTAATCAAAGCCTGAAAAGGTCTGGGGCTTTGCTTTGTGTCACAATAACAATCACACACATAGCTTTCATCTTTATGTATCTGGAAACTACTTCCCCCCACCCAATACACACCGCCTGAAAGGATCACTCACTGTTTTTCGATTGGTATTGGTCTTCCCTTGGAATATACCATCCATCACTTCATCCTTTCAATTTCAACAAAAACAGGGATGGAAAATGAGATATTTCATCCGCTCCCACCAATTTAATATAAATTAAGTGAGTTTAATTTTAACGTACGTAACTCTACATGAATCATACTTAACTATCTTTAATTGCTTATATCAGCAGGAAGAGCCAGGCAAAGAAGGTGGTGTGCATTCCAGCGCCAGCAGCTGCAAACAGCAGGCCTACTGGAGAAGTAGTTCCGTCTGATCTGTGGGCATGGAGAAAGTACGGTCAGAAACCCATCAAAGGGTCACCTTATCCAAGGTTAGTAAGTTTCACTTGTCATCATCTCTCTCTCTCTCTCTCTCTCTCTCTCTCTCTATACTTGAAAAAAGTTTCATATTCACTTGTCATATAATAGAAAGTTCCTACGTAAGTAAAACTGAGGACTTGCCTGCATATCTCACTGACAACCATGAATGGTTGTGTCCCCTTTTCTTTGATCATATCCATTTCCATTAAATTCTAAATTGAAAATAGGGTTTTAGTTCACTACGAGTGACGCGCCCTTATGTTAGCCCGATAAAAAGATTTTGTGCTTCGGAGTATGAGATTGTACGAATTTTTTAAGCGTTTAATTTTAATTTTTATAATTTTTAAATAAAGATCTAATGTTTCAAAAGTTCGAATCAGTATCCCTATCCATACTCTGCGGCTCTATGTATAGAAGTCCCTAGTCCGTGTAGAGTGAGAAGTGGAAAACTAGGCTAGGGTTAAAATAGGTCAATGTAGCTAATTTTCACACTCATAAATTTTCATTTATGGAACTAATCTGCGGATAACCTTTTCTTTTGGAGCATTTTTTATCACCACCATTCAATGTGGTGTATACTCATCATCCTATTTATCATTGTTAAATAAGTTTGAATTTCGAGATTCGTGTAGTGGATAAACATAAATCTCAAAATTCAAACTCATCTAATGATGATAAATAAAATGATGAGCATACACTATATTAAATGGTAATGAGCAAAAATGCGTTTTTTTCTTTTCATGTATACCACTTATTTATACATAGCATTTGGATAGGAAAAAAAAAAAAAAAACCCTAAATAAATAGAACTGCACCGAAAAGTGCGACAATCATTTTCCATCAAACTCAAACCACTTACCTTTATTTTAAGGAAAGAACTTGATTGCTGAATCTACAGCAGCCAAGTTGTGTTCTTATTTTAATTTGAATTATTCTAGTGTAGCGAAAGTTTGCGTCTTAAAAAAATATGTGGACAAAAAGAATAGTGAATTCACGACCCTATTTGTAAGTAGCACAGAAACTCAGCATTAGTACCAGTCAGTTTTGTAGAATATCCCCTCAATGTGACTATTACTAGTTGATATGTGATGAAAGTAATATGAAGGATTTGATCAACATTAATCATCATTATAATCATAACAATCATCATCTATATATAATGCAATGACATTGAACTTAACCTTAACTAAGTCAATCGATGTGTTTGATACTACTTGCAGGGGTTACTATAGATGTAGCAGCTCAAAGGGTTGCTCAGCAAGGAAACAAGTAGAGCGTAGCCGGACGGATCCAAATATGTTGGTCATCACGTACACTTCTGAACACAACCATCCATGGCCTACTCAGAGAAATGCTCTAGCTGGCTCAACCAGATCCCAGCCATCCAAAAAAGGTGGCGCCGCTGCCTTGAAGATCTCTCCCGATAGCTCTCATCAGCCTCATCTAAAGCCAACTAGCCCAACAAAGAAAGAACAAAATGAGAATGTGAATGATAATGATGATAATCATATGTCCCCAACAGTTATTACAGCTGGAAGTGCTTCAACAGTGAAGGAAGAATTTGAGGACATTGAAAAGCAATTAGAGCTTGATCATCATCATCAGCAATTAGGGTTTGCTTATAGACCATCTATGCCTGATGAGCAGTCCAACCAGTCACACCATCCTGATGACTTCTTTGCTGATTTAGGAGAAATTGAGGCTGACCCACTTAACCTCTTATTTTCACAATGTTTCTCGGTAGATGAGCAGCAGCAAAAGGGAGGCAAGGTTGCAGAGCCCTTAGATCCATTCAATCTCTTAGATAATTGGTCAGGAGATCACAACACCAACAATACTTCATTTGCTGAAGCTAAGAGGCGGTTATAACAAGGCCAAGACTAATCACCCTGAAAAGATATCATCAACTCCCCCTAAAACAAGAGTTAAGAGTTTACTCTTTTTAAGTTAGTTTTTGTTCTTTCTTTTTGGTGGTGCAGTTTAAAACCTAGTCCTTGTGGTTTGAATTGAGTTTTACATGTTGGGGTGGGGTTCTAATTTTTTTCTTCACTTTTTAATAAGTTTTTTTTTTTTATAATTTTGGGTTCTTGTTATTTACCAGAATAGAATCAGGGATAGGGAAGAGAGGTGATGTGAAAAGAAGAAGGTACGTGGATCCTCACCGGATTCATGCATCCTAATTTTAGAAATCTATTAATTCAGATAATTGAAATTTAATTCAATAATTAAAAACAGAAATTTATTTTAAAAATTATAATAATTTTAACTATTTAATCAAATTTTAATAACTCGAATTAATAAATTCTTAAAATTAGAATACATGGATCAGAGGGAGAGAAGGTAGTTGGTTGATTGGGAGCAGAACCAATGAGTCCCACATTCCCTTTGGAATTTTAGTGGATGGGACAGAAAGCTGAAGAACAGAAGGATTCTACAGTGGAAACAAGTACCTCCATCAGAGACAAGACTGGAAAGCTCAGTCTCTGAGTGTGTGATAGGATAGATTGATGTGAAGATGGGACTTGCCTTTATTATTCATCTTTTAAAGTGGGAAGAATTATTCAACCAGAAAGTTTGGTCATGTGGGTGGGTATTCTAAAAAGAAAAAGAAACAAGCTTATTTTTATTGTTTTTGGTAAGAGTTTTCAAGGAAAAAATACAAAACAAAAAACGGAAAATTTTATTTTAATTCTTGTTACTTTTTGAATAAAACTTTTGGGTAAGATTAAATACTAATTTTAATTCTTGACATTTAATTGTAATTTTTGAATATTAAATAGATTATAATAATTATTGAGTTTTTTGTTTGAAGGTTATAAATTAATTCTCATAAATAATAAAAATGTTATTTATCATTGTTCCCACAATAAGAAAAGTCATATATTTTTTATTGTGCATGAATTTCTTCATATATATGTATATGCATATTATGTACATATTGATACTATAGTTATGCACTGACACATTTGTACAGATACATTCGTACTGAAACTTACATACCGATACTTCTGTACCTATGAGTAAAATAGGGTACCTAAAGTTATGTACTAATACATTCATACCAAAACTTCTGTACCTATAAATAAAATAAGGTACCGAAAGTTATGCATAAATTGTTTTTGTTTTGTTGTTGAATTGTTTAAAAAATAAGAATTTGAATTTTGAATGAATTTGTATCTATTAATATAATTGGAGCACAGCAAAACAAACATTCATTATGAATGGGTAAATAATTTTGAATGATAAGTTGATAAATAATATGAATGTGCTATAATTACTTAAATATGGTAAGTTTTAAAAATAAAGACTTATATTATATTTTGAAAACTCTTCAAATTAAAATCTAAAAATAATCTTATTGAAACGCTAAAATCTGAAGGCCCTAACAAAAAAATTGAAAAGATGACAAAAGAATCTAAGGAAGAAAGAAGGAATTAATAAGGAAAAGCTTGACTTTTCTCATCAGTTTAGTCTAGGGATGTGTAAATGTGAGATTGATAAAATACATGCTTTGGGTTCCTCAGCTTTCTGTTTCTTTTATTATCATCTAAGTTGTTGTGCTTACTTTGGAGATTGTTTACTTAAAGTGTATTACTATTGCTTAATCGAATATTAGATTGTTTTTGTTTTTTCAGGAAACAAAATTACTATTCATAACTGGCTCTTTATCGTTTTTTTTTTAATTTTTTTAAATCTCAAGAAATGTTAAAAAGACTCTTTCAAAATAGAATTCTTTATGAACTCTTTATCATTTTATAGTTTAACATCAATTATCAAAGCAATCTTATAAAATATTGTACTAAAAGTATAAGATGAAAGAAAGCTATAAAGAATTCTACTTTTTAGAGAGTCGGTTGAACATGTCTTTAGTCGTTAACAAATCATGGTTTAATCTTTTTGCATGCCAAATTGTCATCTAGCTATCTGTGATCCTGTGGATTTTATCGAAGCATGCACGTAATTTTTTTAAAGTTCTGACTAGGTAAAAAGAAAAAGTTTTACAAGATTGTGGCCGTTGACAGCCTTATAGAATATTTTTCTGGTCAAAGGTGATTTTAGAACATTAAAAAAGACAAATAGGTAGGTGATTTTCAGAACTAGTTCAACTAAAAGAAGCTATACATGGACATGGTCTTCAAAGTCACTATACTGTTCATAAGAAGTTCGTGCATCTTGGCAGGGCCGGGCCAGGTCCAGTGCGGGCAGGACGACCGTTTGAGGCTCAAAAAAAATGAAGGCATCAAAATTATTAGGATAATATATTTATATATGTTTTCATAAGAGTATAAATTTATAAAATTTGGTTCAATGACACATAAATTTAACTAGAAGTGGTGGTTTTGTCATTTGAAAATAATGAGGAGGTCTTGGGTTCAAAACACCACCTGTGCTTATTTACTTTCTAATTTTTACAAATTTCTTTCATAAGAGTATAAATTTGTAAAATTTGGTTAAATGATTAAGAAGTTTAATTAAGAGCAATGATTTTTGTTGTTTAAAATTGAAGGGAGGTCATAAGTTCGAAATGCTATGTGCATGTTTATTCTTTTCAATTTTTACAAATTTTTGTTTGATTGTTAATTTATTTTTAGTTACCAGCTAGTAGCTATATGAGTTGTTATTTTTAAATATTTGTTTCAATTCAAGTCTAATCTTCAACAATGAGTAATACGTAGACCAAATTTTTAGAGCAAATTTGCAAATTATATAACGTGTTGTCAAAAGGTTTGATTTAGTGACTATTCATTACTAATACATAAAATTAAAGACTCGAAAACATCATTATTTTTTTAGTTCCATATTGACATGGTTAGTAAATAAGAAAAACGCCTCACGATTTATACAAAAATACTTTCAAAGTTCATATGGAAAACAAAAATCATCATCTATCTACTTGTAAGCCCGGAGTTTTTTGGTTTCCTTCTTTTGATACAAAATAAATTAGTCTTTCTATATTTCTAAATTATTGAGTTTGAAGTGCTTTTCTAAGTATAATTTTATTGAAGTCTTACATGTGAAAATAAATAATTTTCTTATATAAATTTAGGGCACTTTTTTGACGTCGTCCTAGGCCTAAAAAATCTCTGGATTGGACCTGCATCTTGGACTTATATGTGATTCGTGTGAACAAAAGAGTGGTGAATTCACATATTTTGTGTGTCGGTAAACAAATATGAGAGTAGGTTCCAAATCCAATATTAAAATTGTATAATAAACCCTAAACATATATTGCACAGGAACTTAAGACTTGCTTTTTTCTTAAGACATTACTTTGCTCACGTACTCGTATATTTTTTTCGGTTGATATTACAAAACGATGTTGTTTAAGGTTTAGTAAATAATATATTTTTAAATTGACGAATGCAAGGAACTAGTTTAGACTAACTACAATTCATACTTTTTAGGTTTGGAGTGATTTCAAAAGGGTCATTTTGGTTCTGGTCCATAATCAACCTAATTGTTAGACTGAAACTTTGTTTGTTTAAATATTTTGGTCGAGATCCTTAACATTAATTAAGAGATTTAATTCATGCAGTTATGCATTTAATATCCCTCAAATTATGAAATTTAAACAAGTTCAAATAATATTTTTAAAATATAATAAATACTTAAAAAAAAATTTAGAGTAACATTGTTCTTCACAAAATTATAGCAAGAAAATAATGTACCCAACCCACATAATTATTAACATATTTTAAAAAATAACAACTGATATATTTTAAAACATAAAATAAATACATATAATTAGTGACACACCCCAACCCGGAATATCCACTAAGACTCCGAATCGAGCTATGCTGGCCGACACCTAGAAGGTGATGAAGCCAACACAACTTGATTCAGAGTCCTAGTGGACATTCCGGGTCGGGGTGTGTCAATTTGGTATCAGAGCCAATCCCTGACCAGAAATGTGCTAACAAGGATGTCAGGGCCCTAAGGGGGGTGGATTGTAACATCCCACATCACCCAAAGGAGTGGATCCTGTAAGCCTTATATGTATATTCCCATCTCTACCTAGCACGAGGCCTTTTGAGAGCTCACTGGCTTCGAGTTCCGTAGGAACTCCGAAGTTAAGCGAGTTTGCGCGAGAGCAATCTTAGGATGAGTGACCCACTGGGAAGTTCTCGTGTGAGTTCCCAGAAACAAAACCGTGAGGGCGTGGTCGGGGCCCAAAGCGAACAATATCATGCTACGGTGGAGTCGAGCCCGGGATGTGGTGGGGGCCTGGGCTGGGATGTGACAATTAGCATGGATACATTTAGCAAAATTAAAAATGGGTACAAATAAATTTAAAAAATATGGGTACAAATACAAATAACATTTTAAAATATATGGGTACAAATTAAAACTGAAAAGATAATTGGTCAAATTAAAAAAGGGTTGCAAATTAAAAATAGGTACAAACTAAAAATAAAAATATATGATAAAAAATTTAGCATGGCTAAATATAAATATACCAAATGTAACATTTGTAACACTAATTAGCCGAACTCCTCATCTCCCTAGTGTAAAAATATCAATATACTCAAAAAAAAAATATAAATAAGTATTTGGATTTGCAGGTTTATATAATTTGGCAATTCGAAGTTTTTGGAAACTAGAAATTAATGTAGGAAACATATCAACAAAATGCTTTAGCAGAAACTGATCAATTTTTCCGAAATTCTTCTTGGTAAATTTCCTTCTTGATCAAGTGACTAGTTGTGTGTCTGGTTTCCTTTTTATGATCAATGTTGATATTTAACTTATAATATTGTATACTATATGAAATGAAACTAGGACTAACGAGTGTTCTTTTTTGCTTTTATCTCTTATATCACAGGAGACCATGGAGAGGGACGGGGATTCAATAACTTCGGATTAGAAAAAAGAAATTCAAATTTGAGACGTCCTCCGAACCTACTGTATCACGATTTGATCTTGCATGCACGTCCAAACATTATGCCTCCTTTGGTAATGGAAGCAACCTTTCACTCAGTTTATTGGGAAATAGTGGCACCAAGTTCTGTCAAATCGATCAACTTTGCGTACATGTTCTCATATATACCCCTTACAATTTGACACTTGGGAAAGAAGAGTCAAAAAAGTTCTCCTTAAATGGTTTCACGTTCTTGATTGACGGGGTAAGAGTCATTATACATACCGAAGATTGGTTGCAACTGGGTTAATGGGAGTGACTGTGACCATGATTTTGAAAAGAAAGAATTGGAGTTATAATTTATGGCATGCCATAAAGTTTCATGACCATTTTATACTCCTTTTGAAATGTTTGGTGATTTTTTACTCATCACAAAATCGTACGACATTTGTTCATATATATGCACTTGAAAGATCATTCAATGTCTTCATATATATAGATGCTTGGTAATATACCAATTGCAAGAACAATAAATATATATATATATATGGGATGGAGAAGTAGCACATTTTTTTACATAATTTTTTATATACTTTTTTAAGGAACTAACTTTGTAATGTATTTTAGTAATCCAAACCGTTATTTTTTAGGTCTTACCACACTATAGGCAGGAGCTTTCTTTTGCTCTAGCAAACACTTCAGAAACTATTCTTTATGACATTTTTTAAGCCACTATTCTAACATTTTGAAAGCGAGCAAATAATAATTTCAATTCTTTAACTGCATGCACAAATTTCATGGTTTTTTTTTTATTGTTAAAAAAAGTTCTGTACATTATGATTAAGCAATTACATAATCCAAGTATCGATAATATCATCAAGTCATTGCAATCGTAATCTCACTTAAAATTACTTTATTCTCAAGTTATTATCACCAAAAATCTC